GATGAAAAATGCTATCGATCATGTAGGTAGTATTGGTTTGAAAGTCTTCATATCTTCGATTGATGTAGTGTTGTATTTTATCTTGCTGGGCTTGTTCTAATTCAATTTTTCAAGATCACCAGATCATTTTGGCTGTTTCTTTTAGGTGTTGAAGTATTGTCTCGATCATCAGATTTGTTGTTAAGGTAGTTATGGGTTCTGGGAGTGTTGTAGATACTTTTATGATTTTGTCGTTTATTATTTGTGTTAGGTAGCTCAAAGAAGTGGGCAAATGTGTGTTTTTGCAGATATATATTGCACTATTTATTTGTTTTAGTGCTAGATGGAGTTTTGTTGCTTGTAGAGAGTAGGCATAAAAGGTACATGGTGCTGTGTAAGTAGTTAGTATAGTATTATTAGCTGCTTGTAAAATAGCATTGGATAGGATATTCCATTGCTTGTTAAAGCTGGCTGCGTCAGTGATTGGTAGTTGGTTGGAGCATTGTTGTTGTAATTTATCTTCAACAAGTTTGGCGAAGTCTTGCCAACTTTCTTGGAACATTTGTTCACATAGAAAAAATTTTCCTTTTCTTTTTTTGGTATGCCATTTGACTACTTTAAGATTTGTTTGCCATGTGGCTAAGATAATCTTGTAGTCACTGTCTGTTATACCATCAGCATTAAGTATGTGCAGTATGTCAAATTGTAGAATGATTTCAAGGTTTGTCCAAATATCATCAATCTGGCTTTGTTGATCCTGCCTTTGCTATGTAGATGTTGTTATAACATGAAGTTTGAGTAGGCTATTCATGGATGAGTTGTCCAAGATGTTAAAGATTAAGTTTTGTTTTCTTTTTCTGTTTGCATTGTCATTAAAATTGCTGAGTAATATGGTGTTCCATTTTTTCCTTTTTGCTTCTTGTAACCATAGGCTTATTAGGTTTTGTGTTGCTTTGCATAGATTAGAATGATTTGACAGTAAGTAAGTTGAGATTACTCAAAGCTTCATGTTTGCAGGTAGGAAGAAATCAATACAAAGCGCAGTGCCTGGGTGTGTTGATATATTATAGATATAAGGTTGAAGTTGGAGATATAGTGCTATTGCTATTTTCAGACTTGCTTCTTGTGGTGCATCTTGGGTTGGTATATGGTTTGAGGTGTAAATTTTATAGAGAGGATTAGATAAGGCAATTGGGTTGCTATTTTTCAGTTTGGTTTCTGTTATTGATATTAAGTGGTAGTTGTTTTGGGCACAAAATTCAAGAAAGAGTTGGAACTTGAAGTTGTCATTGAGATCTTGGATATTGTGTGTGATGATATTAATATGATCAGTAATGTCTAGTAATAGAAATTTTATATTAGCAGGTGAGTTGACTGATGACGGATCTGGAAATAGTGAATCTATATCCGATGAAGTGCTATTCATTGGGTTTAGGTGAGTAGTTGTCAAGAATCTCCTAGTCTGGTTCGGAGAGGTTGGGCAGTTGTAGAAGAAAGAGAGGAATTCCATTAAATACATAGTGTTCTTTTAGTGCCGTGATAGTTGGGTCTATTTTGTCCGGGATAGTAATAGAGATTTGGATCGTGTGATGCAATTCGAGTTGTTCTAAGTATGCAGTAATATCTTGAATTAGAGGTGGGAGAGGTGGTTTTCTTGTTGAGTCTGGGTTCAGATGAATTTGAATCCATTTAGTAGGGATTTGATGGAAGAAGTAGTATTCCTGTAGAAGTCTTGCTGTATCAACTAGTGCTTTAGGACTTGCTATTGGTATTGTTAGATTTACTTTGGTAACAAGGTTTGGGTCAGTTGGTAGTGGGGGTTTGTTCGTAAGGTTTGCTATCATGTAATGAGGTGGTAGTAGTATGTTAAACTTATATTGCTTTTGTATTTCAGTAATGAATTCTTTCACAGAATATGTATCAGTAATTGGAAAGATATACGAGTTTTCTGTTTTCACTTCTAATGGATTGTGTGGTAGGCTTTTTTTTTGTACAAAATAGTCATTAGGAATACAACGGAAGCTATAGTGTTTTCTTAAGATATCGAGGTATTTTCGAAATTCTATTTCGTCTGTTAGGTCACAAGGAAATAGATGTTAGACTACTGAACAGAGATTTTGTGGTGTTGATGAGAGACAAGGTTTGGGTTCAGGGAGTTGAAAGTAATTGGATGGAATTTGCTCTAAGATGTAGTATTTCATTAATTTTTTTTGATAATCAGATAAGTAAAATAGGCATGACCTTTCAGTAATAGGGAATAGGTCTTTAATTTCTAGGTATAGTTTTGACGGATCATCAGGTAAAGGTTTCAGTAGTGTTGCAAAGTATGTTTCGGGTAGTTTTTCAAATGAAAAGATTTTTCGGAGTGCTAGAACCATGGCTCAGGTAAGATTTCGATCTTGTATAGGGAGGGGAAATAGCAGGATGTTTTGGATTACAAGGTCTATTTGGGCTGGGGTTGGTGGCAGTGGCGTAAGTAATTGGGTATAGGCTTGATTAATCAGTTTGCGTAAGTCTTCAAATTCAATAGTGTGTTAAATTTTTGCAAAATTTTGGCAATAGCGAATAACTCGAGCACAGTCATAAGGGCTGGTAGTAAGGAAGTCAAGATTACAGATAATGTCTAGTGCGAGTTTTGTTTTAAGTTTGTTAAAGATCTGGTCTCAGTTGTGTTTATTGATGAATCGTGTATTGTGGATCCTTTTGTATTTTTCTATAGCCATTTCGAGTAGAGAATTAAACTCTTTTTGGTGTAATGGCTATGTAGTTTTATCTTTGATGAAAGAACAAAAGAAAGCTGTATCTAGATAAGAAAATTTTTTTTAAATTGCATGTGGGAGGTTGTATTTGGTTGGGTTGGTTTGTACTTTGTGTAGGAAGAAATTAGCAAAGAGCTCTTCTGAGAAAAATGCCTAGAGTATGTGGTCTTTATTCCATATAATAGTATCAAAGTCGAGAGTATGTGCTTTGGCTAATGCCAGAGAGACTGAATTAACACAGATACCCGATTTGTTGTTTTGGAGTAAGTGTTTGGGTAAGTTGGAGGTAAGTGCATTGCTATATGATTTCTTGGCTAGGAGGGATTCGACTGTGGCATTGGATTGTGTATCCATGTTTTCGGGGTTGAGGTCTGCTGAGTTGTTTTGGAGTTTGTCTGGGGTACATTCCGGGGTCAAAGAGGCTATCAGGTTGTTAGGGGGGCTTGGCCGGAGGTTGGTTGTGTTTTGATTGTCGATCATCATGGGTACTAACTGGGGTGTGGGAATTATCTATATTTGGTTGTTGTTAATTTTATTGATCGGTGCTGGTTCGAATCGAGGCATGGGAATCAGTTGTATTTGGTCGTTGTTGTTGTTGTTTTGGTTAGATGATGTCATAGGGGTAATTGTTGGGGGTAAACTGGGAAGCCTACTTTTGTTAGAATTTTGTGAATCAAGAGGTGGGTGGTAGTAGTGGAGTTGAACAGAGTTGCATCTTGTACAGTTTTCTTTCTTTTTTGAGGAGGTGGGTTGTTTGGAGTGTTTGGGTATACTGTAATGTTCTGGGCATCTGAGGTCCCGGCAGGGTCCATCAGTGCCATGCTTATTATTGAGGAGATGAGGAAGAGTTTGAAGGATTCTGGAGTGGCAAGAAGTGTATCTCTGTTTCTTTTCAATATGGTGGATATTCCCGGAGCATTTGGTAATATTTATTTGCCTTCCGGCAGTAGTCTAGTTATAGTTTTCTTTATAATTAGTTTGTAGGCAGTTTTAAAATTTTGTTTGTTTTGTTTTCCTTATGATTTACAGATTTACGGGAAAGAGTTCAGTTTGCTTAATACACGTATAAATAATTTTTTAAAAAATAACATAATAAATATGTATAAATTAGTTATTTAATAAACCCAGTGACTAAAAACCATCTGCGCAATTATGTAAAATATAATTTTGCTACTTAAACGAGAGAAATCAAACATGATATATGAGATGCATAATATTTTGGGTAATATATACATATGGCGTGTGCATATTGCAGGTACGATTTTAAAGGTTTGTGTCACGGCGCATTTTTAAAATACTCCTAAATTTGAAATTTAGCTTCAGATAATACTATCTATATACATGCCGTAGAAACTAAAATAATATGTATATAGATTTTTAAAATTTTTAATACGTACTGTCAACGTTACTGAAGATCATTCATTGTTTATTATAGATCGGAGTCATATCTGCATTTCGAAACATTGACCTCAAACTTGATTAATTATAATTGAATAAAATTTGGTATACTTTAATTCGAAAAAATGGGATATATCTTTTGAACATTCGGGATAATTATTTAGTTACAATGTCTTACACTGTCCGGTGCTCCTGCACAAGAATTATTGAGATTTGAGAAAATACTTGATGTAAGGATGTGATTATTATTTTTCAATCGCAAGAGCAGTCCAATGTTTTCCATATGGCATTTTCTTTTTTTTTTCGTTCTGATTATCACAAAGGCTGTACATTATCAATCCCAGTTCTATCAATTATATCCTAATGATTTAAATCATATTTACATTTTAAAAAGAACAAAATAAAAACAAAAAAAAAAAAAATTCGGTATTAGAATAAATATATAAATCGTTAATTAGTATAAAGCAATATAGTGTAAAAAAAAAAAATTTCTCATATTAATAAGTATTAAAAAAGATATTTCGTTTTCTTGGCAAGTAAAATTCCTAAATTCTAACGGTTAATTAAAACCTGACAATTAAAATATAAAGGTTCTTTTAAAAGAACCCTACGAAAATACAATCGAAATATATAACTATTTTGTTAAAGCATTACTAATATATACTGTATATATTCAAATGTTATAGTAACCAAAAATTCGTATATATTTCCTGATCAAAGTTTACATGCCACATAAAAGTATAATTTAAAAAGTCCAACAGTAAAATTAGGTAGTAAATTATTAGTAAGTGTCTTTGTTTGAATGTTAATTCTGGAATCCGCGAATTAAACAATTCAGCATGTCCATCCGTTATTTTGACTTTATTATTTTGACATCTTTGTCACTTGTGCATACATCTGTAAAGCACGAACAATATGGTCTGGATCAAGTGCAAGTGCATCCCCGAGTTCTTCGAGAACACGAGCATATTTTCCAACTTTATTAAGATATAAAGTTGATATCGCATTCTAAAAGATTAAAAGGAAAATTTTTAATATTGATATAATTGATCGACTACATCACATAATAACAAATACAGTATAAATATATACCTCAATCCTTGTAATCAGGCTCTCCATTATTTTCATTAACTCTTCATCATCCGCATTATCCTTGACATGGAACGTTAACAATCCTGCCATATGATCTATTTTTGAACTTCGAGAAGTACGATGGCTTACATTTCCGGATACCACACGTTCAAGACGAAGACAAAGATATCCGAGAGTGCGTACACATGATGGATCAACTAATTGTGTGGTTGCAATATGTTCATATTTCTTTATTATGAAGAAACAGGGAATGGTAAAGGTCAGCTTTAAAACAATATACATAAAGGGATAAGATGTAACAAAATATTTACTTCTGGAACTTTTATGGAATTCCTGACTTTCATTTTTTGATCTTCATCCATTCTACCTTTAAGCTTTACCGGATAAACCTATGACAAAAATATTCTTAATCATACTGAATAAATAAGTGTGCTTCATTAATTTTCTTTGAAATTCAACCACTTACTAATGACAGTATTTCGGCATTTTCTAATCCTTTAAGCTTTTTTTCACCAAGTGGCTTTATAACAAATCCCATTTTCTTCAAAGCAATCACGTTCTTATCCAACATATCATTAGATGACTCCTGAACTTCTTCATCTCCCCCAATGCTACCTTTCCTATCTGAATCTTGTCCACCTACATACCTATAAATGCCAATTTGTGATTCTACTTCAGAACTCACACAAATTTGCCCACCATCCGCCGCACTACAGATTCTTGCAGCTCTGTTAACCACAGGTCCGAAATAGTCCATTCGTTTCGTTACTATATCCGTTTCAAAATCTGGACTACCACAATGTATACCCATTCGAACGGATAAACCTTTATATATCAATTCATTGTCATGCCCACCAAAAACCTCTTTCCCATCTTCTGATTCAATGATTTCTTGTGGCCAGTCAACTTTTAAAAGTTCAATTTGCACGGTGAGACACCATAAAAGAGCTGACGCTACTGTTGGAAAAGATACCATGAAAGCATCTCCTTCAGTCTTTACTTCATAACCGCCAATATTGCGTAGAAGGCGGCGCATGACATCATTATGAGATTTAATTGCAGAACGCATTGCGTTTGGTATTGTTTCCCAAAGAAATGTAGAGTTCTTTATATCAGTAAAAACCAGTGCTACTTGTCCTGTTGGCGGTGAAATTTCTGCTTCTAACCGTGCCATAATATTATCACTTGGTATTTCATCTCTTCTTCTTCTGTTACCCAAATATTTTATTGAACCTTCACCTTTTCTTTCTTTTATCACGGAGTAACGACGGTCAAACAAATCTCCAACCCCTATAATCATTACCATGATATTTTTTATTGGCACCATAAGAAATAGCGAAATCTCGCAGCTTTTGAGCAGCTAACATGAGATTATTTTTCTCTGTCCTGGCTATATCTACTGCAAGTTGGTAACTTATATAATTCCATAATTCTCGAGTAGCAAGAATTAAAAGTTCATCCTGTTCAGAGAGTTGAACTACCTCCGTTACAGGATTAGCATTGATAATTGGCGTTAAATGAAAATGACCAAATGATCGAGATACATCCAGTTCTCCATTGACAAGGCAATCGTGCGAAATATATCCTCCAGCTTTCTTTATCCTTTCAATTTCGCTAAAAACTTCTGAACATTGCGCAACCGGATATGCTTCCTTTCCACGACTGATAACTGCTACAGTATCACCAACATTCGCAATATATAATTTTGTTCCAGAAATATAAGCAACTAATCCGGAGGCACCAGACTTATTGTCATCAATACCTAGGGAAGAGTGATGATACCCACTTTCCGTATCTCTAGAATAAAGGTCTGTTTCTATACTTGAATTGAAGACCTTTGAACCGAGTTCTTTATTTAAACTCAAAAAAGATCGTCGTAAAGCAGATTCTACTGAATCATCTTTTAATTTTTCTAGCTCAGTTTTGAAATGGAATAAAAACCAATCGTGTAGATACTTAGTAACTCGACCACCTTGACTGGAGCCAGCACGAGCATCAAAAAGCCCAAAAATGCACTCGTCTTCACGTCCACGAAACTTTGGCGTTACAGCTTCCCATGTTGAAAGATTATCTGACTTTCCTAGAGTATCTGCCATACCATATCGCATAGAATTTACTAATGATACTGATGTTCGCACACGACGGTTATCTGTTTCTTCAGGAACCGAAAAATTTAAAAGCGTAATGTCCATGAGACCAAGAACTCTCAATGCAGTAAGCATTCTAAAGTCCGCTAAATTCCTATCTCGGAGAGGATTGATTTCATTTTGATGTACATGTTTAATCTCGAATCTTTTGTTACCCGAGAGATTAAGATACTTAAGTTCAATATTCCAGTTCCAATTCCAATCATATTGCCAATTCGCGATATTATATTTTAAGAAATTATTCCCTACATCGAGAACCACCAATTTTCTTATTTTACTCAATTCTGCAGGCAATGTTGTCAATCTGTTGCCGTTTACATGTAGAACACTTAAATTAGTTAACTTGTCTATGTCTTCTGGAAGCGATGACAATTGATTCCCGGAAAGATACAATTCCGTTAAATGAGGATTAGAAATTCCTGGAGGAATTTGATCTAACATATTGAATGAGATATTCAAAATTTCGAGTTTCGAAAATAAAGAAATATAGGGAAATATTTCAGCAGTAATAGAGTTATCTCCTAAATATAGGACGCGAAGTGAACTAATAAGAGAATTCTCGGCTGGCAAATTGGTTGGAGTGGTTGGAGGCGCTGGGAATTGCTCTAATAAATTTGAGCTAACATTTAAAATAGCTAAGCTTTTGCAAAGCCAAATTTCTTGTGGTAGAGAAACAAGATTGTTGAAATGAATGTCCAATGCATATAAAGAGTCTAAACTACTAATTTCACTTGGCAATGTGCGAAGAGTATTATATATACATGTTAAGTGTGTTAAATTCTTCAACATCCCAATTGTTGTCGGAATCTATATTAACTGATTATTACTAATGTCAAGCTTTTGAACAGATTCAAGGTGTTCAAACAGTTCATTTGGTAACGCAACAAGTTTAGCATTTGCCAATGAAAGTTCTTTTAATGAAGGACCTGTTTCCTTTAACGAGAATTGAGTAAGTTGATTTTTGGATAGAATAAGTTTTTGTAATGATCTTGAAGATATGTCTACTGTTGATATGTTGTTAAATTCGGTCAGAAGAATTTCAAGGTTAGGAATTAAAGATATCGTGCAGAGATTCGTTATTTTGTTTCGACGTATATCTAATTCATTCAAAGAAGTTAAATTCTGAAAATTTTCAGGTAATTTTTTATCCGTTATTTGATTTCCAATGAGGAACAACTTCTTAAGGTTGACAAGTTTTCCGATTTCTTCTGGTATGGAAGTTATTTCATTATAACTCAAATCCAGTTCTGAAAGCGTCACAATATCGCAAATAACTTGAGGAAATTCTTTGAACGAATTGTTGGCAACATTCACGATACTCAATTTGGTAAACGCTGCAAATTTCTTGGGTAATGTTTCTAACAAATTGTTTTCAACTTGAAGATTTGCTAGCTCACCAATCATTTCCAATGATCCAGGTTCTAGGTCTTTCAAACGGTTCGAATTTAGATTAAGAAAAGAAAGCATTTCTGACTGTTTAATTGATTGTGGAACACGTTCTAAGTCATTTTGTGAAAGGTTGAGCTCACGTAATTGTGCGCAAGATTGTATAAAATCCATAGGAAGATCGAGCATTAAATTTTGAGAAACATTTAAAGATCGAATATTTAAAGCTTGCCGATAAAGAAATATGGGTATTGTTTGTAAATTGCGAGATTGAAGATCCACTCTTTGGAAATTAGATAAGTTTCCTTCTTCCTGAAAAGTTTATAATAAAATTAATAATTAATCGATAAATTAATTTATTTTTATTATTAAAAATTTTAAGAGTTAATTAAGCATACTTCAAATCTTGGTACAGTAGTTTCACGGAAGGTAAAACGAACTAAATAGCTATTATCCTCTCTGCCAAGATCTTCCAAATTATCATTTACAGTATACCCCGCTTGTTCTAACCATTTCTTTTGTAATTGCAATGGTCGTTCATGAGATCCTAACACACGTTCTTAATAAGACAGAAAAAGAATAATTAGTAATGTAATGTCAATAATTTATCAAAATGATAGTATTCTAATTTACCTAAGTTGTGCCTCATCACATATAAATTATATTTTGAAATATCCTGAATAAAAAATTTTTTACCAAGAATTTGCAATAATTCAGAAGTAGTAGTGTTCAATCCACAATTTACTGTACCGAAAGTGGCATCAGGACGAAATATACGAATGCAAAACTTTTTTAAATAAAAAAAATATATAAATAAATATATTAACATTTTATTATATAGAGATGTAATGTAATATGCATACTAATCGTTTCCAATCATCCTTATCTTCAACATTAAGGCTATCGCGAGCATCCTTTTCTACCGGAGTTTCATGATTTACTGCCCATGAATCAGGAGCCGTCCAAATTTCTGCTTTATTCGGCGGAAATTGGGTCCTTTCTATAGCTGGGTTTTCTTGTAACAAGTCATCAAATGATTTATAAGAAGGTACACCTGAGTGTCGATTTTCAGTTTTTATGATATCTTTCAGGTCATCAAAGTTAATGTTACTACCTAAAAAGTAATTAGGAGATAATTAGAATAGTTGTAAAAATTGTTCTTTTTGAACAAATAAATAGATTAATGTAATTACAGTTTATTATGTCATGTGCAGCAGTTTCCTTAAAAAAATAAAGTTATAGAATTATTTTAGATTTTATGATTTCTAATCAATTTAAACGCAATATTTGCTTTAAATAAAAATACGATTTTTATACACAATTTATTTATACAAAAACAGGCTAAGAATACCTTCTGCTTTTTCCCTGATTTATGTTCCTTTTTGAGCTTCATGCCCCAATGATAGTGATCATTCTTAGATGACAAATGATCGTCTCTCTGGTCGTGAGGTGTAAGGAAATTCGAATGTGACTCCGTACTTGAATTTTTACGAGATAATCCTGCAAATTATTTAATCGGAATTTTAATTTTTATAAATAAAGATATAATTTTGACAAATATATGCGTGTATGAAAAGCTATATGCGCGTGAAAATATGAAACATTGAAAAAATTATTATATACGCGCAATATATGTAGATATTATGGATATGTATGCGCATGAATAAAGAGATCACTCACGGATCGGACAAACAAACCTTCAGGTGTGGGTGGCTCTTTATCTTTGGAGCCTTTCCTGAAAAGATTAAATAAAGTCTTTTTCTTTTCTTTTTCTTCTTTAACAGGTGTATTACTAGGAGTGATGTTACTGACAGAAGATATCACACTAATGGAGTCGCTATCTGAGCTCTTTGTTCGTCGGTGTTTAGAGGAATATGAGTCAGAATTAGTATATGAAGTTATAGTTGAACCTTTTTCACTTTCATCATGCTGATCAATTTGATACATAAATGGGGCAATTTCTGGAGGGGGGAAATATCGAGCATTCATATCAGGCTGAATGTAATCAAAAGACTTTCTTCTTGGTTCGTCTTCGCCAGGTACTGTTAGAGCGGCTTTTAAGTTACCAGCCGAAAGCTTACGTTGATGACCAGCTTTCCCTTTAGATCTGACTGGTAAGTTATTCATTGACTGAGGTCCAGATTCATGACTTGGTGAAGAAGGTCGAGAGCTTGACCCAAAAAACAAAGAAAAAAAAGAGTCTTGTTTTTCTTCACGGGATTTTTTTCTTTTATTATGGCCTGAACCAGTGAGCGAATGACCTGGTGGAGTAGGTGCACGAAGCGGTAAAGGTGGTGTGACGTCCAATTCTGAAGATCGTCGAGGGGTCATAGATATTGTAAACTACATACAAACGACAAGAAGTACATTTAAGGATGATTCGTTTTGCCTAAACAAACTGTGAAACACAAAAATGTATTACAACTTCAAATATGGTTTAGTGAATCAATGATTTTTATGAATATCTTCAGATTGGCATAACTAAAGTTTTTATTGGCTGTGTTTGCTTGTTTGTTATCTTAAACTTTTTTTCTCGTACGTACGTACGTACGTGTGCTTACAATTGGCCTATACCCATAAATAATATTGATTTTTAGTCTGTCAAAATCGGCTGGTCGGCCTTGTACCATCAAACTTAGTAAACGAACATACTGTATTTAAAATGACTTGTAATTTTTGGCTCATTAAACTCTAAATGACTAGCAAATTTAAATTTTATTTATAAAATCTACAATTCCGTAAAGTTATTTTTTTTAACAGTTTCTAATGTTTTAAAGTCGATAAAATTTTAAATTTATTATAAAACGCATCTATGGTGGTTTTGCACCAATTATATGTTTTTATATATTTTTTCTAAGGTTTTATAAGTTTTTTATATAAAATTTTTAGCACAAATTTTTCATGTTAGAGTTAGTATTTAGTGCTAGAATTAAGGTTTAGGAAGGGTTTTTGGAGACGTAGAGCATTTTTACTTAGAGTATCGCATATTAATTAATTAGTCAGTTTTTAAGATAATGCAACATAGGTGGTAAACTACCATAGGTGCGTTTTAGTAAAAGTGTTTAAAATTAATATTATATATGTATGTTGCTCTCAATTTGGTAATATCATATAAGTCGACTTTAAATGACTTGACTCTAACCGACTTGAAAACTAACTAAACCGAGCTGTTTAACATCCCTAGTGCTAGACAGAATAACATTACGAAAGCTAAAAAGTGTAATACCATCTATATTTCAGAGCAAGCAAAAGAAATATGTAGTAACCAATTTTTAAGATATAGACGTTAAAATTTATGTATTTGTGCCATAGGCTTTGATTTATTGTTTTGTGGTTTAACATTCCTGTGAGCAGCTACATTTTTCATTTTAACTAAAAAGAGGATCACCAAAACAAAAGAGATTACTCGTCAAGAAAATTTATTTACATAATGTTCGTTATAGTAATATACATATTGGTATGTTATGATCTAGGTCTAAAATGGCTCCCAAATTTTTCTTATTAAACTCAAATTGTATTTATAATTAAAAGAAAAAAAGTAGAACTTGATATTTGGTTCATATGCAATTATGGCTTCACAAGAATTTAATTAATCGTTAATTTAATCAGTTATAAAGAAATATCAGAGTTAATACAGTAAATTTGTTACAAAGGTTGCAATTTATTTATTTGTAAATCACATCTAATAGCATGATATTTCTATACCTCGATTTTAAAGAATCAATGAAGTCAATGTAATATTCATGAAAAGTATATCTTTATATCTTTCTGCTGACTCTGTTGAGGATCAAGATCATGTTGATTCAAGTCTCTATCTAGTAGAATTTTTAAATACTTTAACACCAAGTAGATGCCACCTCATAAATTGGTATTAAAAAAAGATATACCAGTTTCCAAAATTATTATGTTCTAGATTTAAATCTCTTAGCGAAGATTTTATACAAAATGCATTAGCTAATGCTTTCCCTCCTTCTAATCTAAGATAATTATCACTAATTTCAAGGAGGTTAAAGTAGTGTTTTTGCAAAATGCAACAGCTAATGCTTTTCCACCAAGATTATTATAACAAAAAACCAGAGAAATCAATATATCGTTCTTACAAAGCCCATCAGCGAATGCTTCTCTTATATCTGATCCAATATTATAATATTCGATTTTCAAATATCTCAGTGACTTGTTAAAAGCAAGGGCGTTTGCTAATCTTTTAATCCAATATGTCTGCTATGGACTTCCACAAAGACTTAAAGAAATTAGCGTGTTGTTGTGGCTATACATGGGTGTCTAAATTGCCCATCTTAATAAAAAAGTAATCACGGCATTTAGGCTGCCGAAATTAATCTTATATAGTGCCGAAATTGTTGCCGAAAATTTTTGAACTCTTTTCATCAAAATACATCATAATATAGTTATTTCGAAGGGGTTTATATAAAAAATTTAGCAATGCCGAAATGTTTGTTGAAAATACGATTTTTCAAAAATAATTTAGACACACATGTATAGTTGTGGCGAAGATAATAATCTAACATCTTTCCTCCTTTGTAACCAATCTGACGTTGGTAAATACCTAAAAATTTTATAAACGTTTAAGACTTTTGCCTGTTCGTAGAAGCATTCTAACTAAAGAATGTTTAATTGCATATTCGAGTGAACGTCTTTCTACTTCTTCGTATTCATAATTATCATTAAGCCATTCTCTAACTCCTTCATACAAATGCTGGGTGACAGTTGTAATATAACTTGTGTATTCGAAAAGTGGCTTTGGTTGGCTTGGGAGTGTAATTTCCAATGAAGCTTGCTCTTCAGGGTTTAATGTTGAAAACAATATTTTTAAAAGTCTTTCGTCCATAAAACTATGACCCGGTTCTTTCCACAGTATGGGTATAACGATTCTACACCATTCACGGTTTACAGGTATGCATGAAAATAAATCTTTAAAATCGTGACGAAGATTAGATGAAGTTTGAGATAACGATAAAGGTTTGAGAATTTTAGTAAGCCATATCGATATCGATATGCTTTTTATTGATTATGTCAGATGATTTTCATTCAACATGATTGGCCGATATATTATAGCGCTTTGCAAAAAGACGTGACCCCATGATTTTTCTATTAATTCATATTTTCGATCATTTACATTTATATTTATTTATAGCGCTGCAAAAAGATGTGACCCCATGATTTTTGTGATGATCAAAGAGGAAATTTCCGAGATTCTAGTTTGTCTATTCATATTTTCGATCAGTTATATTTATATTTATTTGAAATCGATAAGATTCCGATTTTCACGCGATATTGTATTTGCAGAGGTCACATCTTCTTGCGAAGCGTAATTTTCACACGACATTGTGATCTGCAGAGGTCACATTTTTTTTGCAAAGCGCAATAATACTATAATCTAATAAATTTTTTAAATCATTTATTATAAAACGCATATATGGGAACCCTTACAGCAAAAGGTGGCAATGTGTCAAAAAATTTTTTTTCTTAAAAATGCAATTTCTTGAAAAATTAGAGTAATAGACATATAATTTTTATAAAATTACAGAATTAAAAATTTTGACTCATCGCCACCTTTTGCTGTGGTCGTCCCCATATATGCTCTGGCTAAAAGATGAGCGTTTATCGCGAATTGGCCTTGATAACCAAAAATTTAAATCGTAATTGTGTGAAGAAGTTTTTCATCATAATATACATAAAATTTTATTGAAAGTTATTATGAAAGTTTTAATGCTGCACCGTTTTAAAATCAACTTTTGTTATCTAATTATGAGTATTACGAATTGGCTTTGATTACCGAAATTTAAAATCGTAATTGTGTAAAAGAGTTTCTTATCATATTTTAAGTAAAGCTTTATTGTAAATTTTGTAATAGTTTTAATGCTGAATCTTTGAAAATTCGGTTTTCCGGGTATATTAGGATCTTCATGGGTGCAAAAATATCAGATAATACGTAAAAATCTATACTAATAATTTTTATTATAATACCTTATATAGACTTGATTATTTAGTATATGAAATACCTCAACCATAGGTGCGTTTTAGTAAAAGTCTATAATGATGATAATACGATATAAAGATTCTATAACTCAATAACGGTTTCAATTCTTATTCCTGAAGTCGAATTGATATGAGATTCAAAAATGGTAATGCAGAATTTTCGTCGAGGTTCGTTACTAATCCTTTTGCTGCTTGGAAGGCAAAAATCAACAGAGGAACCGTAATGCCTTTAAACATAATTTGATTACAATTAATTTCTTCTAAATATAAATCGGATTTTTGCGCCCCTTCAACAGGATAATAATTAATGTCAATTATTTTATTTAAGTAACTTTGTGATCTAATGAATAATGAAGCAATAAACTTGCATTAGAAGTAAATTAATAATTAAATATTATTAAAAGACAGACCACATGCGAGTGTTCAAATTCATACGTGTTTTTATCCTTAATAAACATTGGTAAAGCTATGCTTACTAGATTGCACACTGTCACCTATTACTATATTTGATCGTTCCAAGGTTCTGCTGATTAGATTAATGATTACAAGAATCTTTATAAAGCATGTATAGAGCGCCCATTTCGATTTTTGATTCTAATATTGCAGACCATACTTTTTTGAGCTTTAACGGTTTTGCGTGTTAAACCTAATCCTCATATAATTTCTAAATTTGTGCAATAGAAAAATCAGTAATTCACATTGGTGAAAAGTTTTTTAACCTTACATCGCAATTTTACCTCAAGTTCATCTCCATACATCCATAAGTCCAGGTGCCTGTTGGATCAAAAGGACCCTAATCATCGTCATTTTCATAAATAAATCAGATAGCACCTCTTCTTTACTGGTATTCTTTTTAAATCTAAAAAATATCTGGATGTCATGTTTCCAAATAAACTACGAATGCATCGGGACGTTTATTTCTCTCTTGATCAAAGTATCGTGCAGTGTTATTATATACACGAAGCATGAGAATAATCCCATTTGGATAACTATTAGTTCCCGCAATGTAAGATTCGGAGGATCGAATATTGTGAATTTTTAAGCCAATACCACCAGCCATTTTCGAAATCATGGCATATGTCGTATGCCCTTGATGGAATCATCTTTCATTATCAGAAGGAATGTGAGGTCGTGGTGTTCTAGCGTTAAAAAGAGTCGCGACGCATGTGTAAAATACTTTTTAGACATATTATAAAAGTGTCTTTAGAGCATTAAAAGTTCATAAGTAATAAACTTTATCTAGGTATAGCCAGTAATCTTATCTGAGATATGATTGATATTTTTTCCGGGGTATTTTAACAACCAATCAAAATGAACTTCTGCTATGCTAGTGGCTTGTTGGAACGAAATGACAAACCTGTAGTTTATTAGTGTTACAAGCTGGCTGGGGCAGCCGCGGCTAAGGCAGCTTAGCCGGCTAAGCCAGCCGATACAAATGTATCGGCTGGCTAATATGGCTGAGGGTATGACATTCACGTGACAAGTATATATAATAATAGACGAATCAAATCGAACGCAGATTCATATATATTGTTAGAGTGCCAAAAGTCTTTTCTTCGAAAAATACTTTTTTTATTTCGTATTGCTGTTTTA